GGTTATAATCAGATCGCAGGGGAGGATTTCTTTGACACCTTCAGCCCGGTGGTTAAGTCAACCACGGTTCGTCTGTTACTCTCTTTGGCGTTGTCTCGTGGCTGATCTCTTCGCCAGCTGGATGTTCACAACGCCTTTCTGAATGGGCAGTTGGCTGAGTTGGTTTACATGAAACAGCCGCCTGACTATGTTGACCCGAGTTATCCGGATCACGTTTGTTTACTGCAACGGTCCCTCTATGGTTTGAAGCAGGCTCCGCGGGCCTGGTTCAAACGCTTGCATGACTTTCTTCTCTCTGTGGGGTTCAAGGCCTCCAAAATTGATATATCACTGTTTTACTATTTTGTTGCAGGGGCTCAAGTATTTCTACTTGTCTATGTTGATGATATTTTGCTAATGGGCAGTGATTCGGCTTTATTGAATGATTTGTTGAAGCGTCTTGCAACGGCCTTCAAAATTCGGGATCTCGGGACACCGAGTTTTTTTCTCGGTATTGAGATGGTCCTGCATGAATGCATGATGGGGATTTTATTCTTTCTCAGTGCAGATATATGGCGGACATTCTTAAGCGGGCCTGTATGGAGGATTGTAAGCCTCTTGTCACGCCCGTTTCAGTAATTCGTTCTCCCGAGTCTTCTGATGATCCCTTTGATAATCTTGCTCAATACAGGTGCTTGCGGGTGCCCTCTAGTATTTGATTGTTACGCGCCCTGACCTGTCTTATGCCGTTAACTGTCTTTGTCAGCACATGCACTCACTTACTATGGCTCACTGGGTGCTTCTTAAGCGTGTTTTACGGTATGTCAAAGGCACTACTCAGTTTGGGTTGCGTATGTGTCCTTTATCGTCCATGACGTTACATGCTTTTTCCGATTCAAACTGGGCTGGTGATCCAGTGGATCGCAACTCCACTTGTGGTTTTGCGGTGTATCTTGGTTGTAATCTGGTCTCTTGAGTGTGTCGTAATCAGCGCACGGTTGCTCGTTCGTCTACTAAAGCAGAATATAAGGGACTTGCTGATGTTGTTGTTGAAGTTACTTGGGATGTGTCCCTTTTGAATGAGATTGGTTTGCCCTTACCTGGTCCTCCGTCCCTATAGTGTGACAATTTGGGTGCGACCTATCTCTATGCCTACCCGATTTTCCATGCCTGCACGAAGCATGTTGAGGTGGATTATCACTTTGTTCGTGACAATGTAGCCTCGGGTGATCTTTAGGTTCATTTTGTGTCTACACACGATCATATTACTGATATCTTTACTAAACCATTGTCCGCCAAACGGTTTGGGTCCTTACGTGACAAGCTTAATGTTCTGTCTGTACTATACCTTAAGCTTGCGGGGGTGTAATAGGACTCCTGTAGTTTAGTGTTACTAGGACTCTATCTGTTAGTTATTATCTCAGTATTAGTCTGTACTTCATCGCTATTATTGTTATTGAATACAATCCATTCACTCATCGGTCGAAGAATGTATTGAGGAATTTTTCGAATCGAAAAGTAGTCGAAAATGTTATTTCTGACAAAAAAAACTATGGGGTCGTTTACCAAAATAGAAAAATAGAAGATTTTCTGAAAAAATAGAGAATTGGATAGGTGGAATAATGGAAAATGGAAAACTTGTTATATATATATATATATATATATATATATATATATATATATATATATATATATATATATATATATATATATATATATATATATCTACTATACTAATAAGAGCCCAAGAGAGTTAGGCCTATAATGGGTAGAAAAAATGGCGGTCACATATTTTAATCAAATGAATGGCTTAGATTGATTAAAAGATTGATCAGATTTAAATTTTACACTAAAATTTCCTAAAATACCCACACACCGTTACTAATTCCGTTAAAATTTTAAGAATTGTCGTTAATTCACCGTTAACTTACTCATTGATTTCAATAAATAAAAAAAAAAAAAAAGGTCTTAGATTCGAACATCATCCCAATCAAAGTTGGCATAATTAGTACTTTATTTTACTCTTATTAAATTATATAAATAATAATTTAGTAGTTACAACAAAAAATAATACATATGCATTTCATTAATTTAGAATTATGTGTTCACAATGTCTTTATTCAAAAAAAAAAAAAATTATTCATTATCAATAAATTAAATAAGATAAATAATTTTATTAGTTATATTGTCTTTATTTTTCTTCAATATAAAAATTCTTTATATTCAAATTTATTAATTGATTATATTCGCTACATTGTCCTTAAAATGTTTTTATTCAGTGAAAAACAAATTATTAATTATCAATAAATTAATTAAAAGAAATATTTTCATTAGTTATATTGTCTTTATTTTTCTCAAATGTAAAAATTTTTTACATTCAAATTCATCAATTGATTATATTCACTACATTATCTATTATCTTTTTTTGTGCACTATTTTTCTAATTAAATATCAAAGTTATAACATAAAATAATGCTATATATTTATTTACCAAGTATTTTATTAATACCATGAAAAAATTAAAAAAATATAATTAATAAAGCCAACCATATTAACTACTTGAGAGATTTTGTGACAAAGAGAGTATTCAAATCACACAACAAATTGAAGTGAGAACTACCTCGCAATGTCCTTGTTTGACAATCAGCAGTTAGTGGTTAACGTTAGCGGATTATACAAGCGGATTTGACCAGCGAATTTATTTAATTATTAACATTGGGTAGAAAAAATGACCGCCAAATTATTAAATCAAATGAATGGTTCATATTGTTCATGTTTTAATTTTTTTCTTTTAAGATTTTCTAATTTATCCTTAATTATATGATTATCCATTTAACTTTTCCATTAATTCACCGTTAGTCTAATTCTAATATTAAAGTCTAATATAGAATTATAACTACACCATTAATCTAATTCTAATATTAAAGTCTTAATAGAACTTAACCACAAATCCTAATGTCGGAATCTCCTCAAACAATATTAGTATATATTTCATATTTTATCCCCTAATTTTTATTTGTTCTCCCTTATGTCCCGTATTTGGTTTCAATCATACCTATACAATTATTTTATTGACAATTATAATCAATATTGACTATATTATCTTGCATTTGTAAACTTAGAATTACCTATTTAACCTGCACGGGCTTAGCTCAATGGTTTAGTGGGTAGTATTTGGGAGAAGAGACCAAGGTTTGAACCTCGGCGGCGGCAATGCATGAATTATGTCCAAAGTGGGCAGATTCCTTGTGCGTACCAGCATTTGGCCCTGTCTGCTGAACCATTGAGTCACCGTGATTTATAACTTCCCACAATGCTCTATCCATTGAGTCACCGTGATTTATAACTTCCCACAATGCTCTATCGGGTCGGTTGGGGACTCAACCTTTGGGAGAAGAATTACCTATTTAAATACGTAAATTCAACCTTCAATTATCTATGCATGAACAATTTCAATATAATCTTGCCTTAATATACTTTAAAGTACTTATTTTAAAAAAAGTATTGGGCATTATCTCAATCACGCAATGCGCGTAAAAAACTAGTTATACTAATAAGAGTCAAAAGAAGTTAAGTCTATAATGGGTAAAAAAAATAACGGTCAAATTATTAAATCAAATGAATGATTCACATTGATCAGATTTTAATTTTTCCTAAAAATTTTCTAATTTATCCTTAATTATATGATTTTTCGTTAATTCTCCCATTAAATATGTACTCCATCAACTCATATCTGTTAATCCCCCGTTAATTAATACACAAAATTTATCACACAGAAGACAGGTAAAGATGACTTTTGAATTTTTGAGAAGCTTGAGGGTGGGGTTTTGTGGAGAGGAAAGCGGGAAGGATTTCTAATACTGCTATCTTGGTTCTTCTTCTTCTTCTTCAAAGTCGGCCGTTGCCATCAGAAAAGATAGCCTGGTTGTGCTTGTATGGCAAAATATGGCTTTTATTATATTTTTGAGTTAACACATTCTGGACCTGTAGTATAGTTGATAGTTTTTATATATGTAGTTATCATATTATGTGTCAGCAATTATCAACTCAGATTTTGTATCTATAGTTGACACATTCTGTACCTTTAGTTGATAGTTTTTGTACTATCATATTATGTGTCAGCAATTATCAATTTTTTTGTTATATATAAAGAAACTGTTAACTGTAGGTACAAAATGTGTTAACTGAAAGTACAAAATTTTTGTATAAGGATTCATAATGCAATATGAACGCTGATTCATGGTATATCAATTGGTCAAAATATTAACTTGACTTTGTAACCACCACCCAACCCAATAGGGCAAATTATGCCCTGGAAACGTGTTCACCATGAATGGTGAACACGGGTCCAAACGGCGCCGTTTTTACGTAAAAAAAATAAAATTCGCTAATGTGGTGTTAACGGCGCGCATTTGGTCAGATTATGAATTTTCTGTTATGAGATTATGAATGTACTGTAAATTCATAATCTCATAACAGAAAATTCATAATCGCATAAAAGAAAAACATTTATTAAATTATGAATTTTCTGTTATGAGATTATGAATTTACTGTAAATTCATAATCTCATAACAGAAAATTCATAATTTATGAATGTTGAAGAAGCTTGCGTTACAGAGGAGCAGTCATGGTTTCGGACGGGAATTTGTAGGCATGGTTCCAAAGTGAATGTGCAGGCATAGATTCATAATTTATGAATGTCCGAAATCATTGCTTACCTCAAATTAAAGTGAAATCGCAAAATATGAAAATGAAGAAGAAAAGTCACGCGATTAATTAAGAAAAAAAAAATAAAAAAAATAACGGTGCACTAACATTGTTGGGACCGTGTTCACCATGGATGGTGAACACGGTTCCATGGAATTACGATTGACCCAATAGCTAGCACATCCATCAATGATAGACCAAGAAATAAATAAATAAACAAAACAAAAAGAAAACCAAAAAAAAAAAAAAAAAAAAAAAAAAAAAAAAAACTGAAAAGTCCTCTTTCTTTATACTAGTAAAGAACAACAAAGGCAATGCAACTTGCTCAAAAAAAAAAATCATTTTAATTAGACCAAACAATAAAGCCATACATATCACATTCTGTATCCAGGCCACTTGCATGCCCACTCATCATTGACGTACAACTCCTATTTTCTTCTTGCTAAGATTTTATCCATCTGTATTTATTATGCACAATAAATGTATCAAAAATGACACACTCGATCATTGCAGCTTATCTTCCCCAGCTAGAACTCAGCCATGTCAGCGGCCATGTTCATAATCCTCATACCAATTATACTACTCTCCTTCAATGCAAGATTTGTTGAAGCACAGAGTGGGCATCTTCCTCCAGATGAATGTGAGCCCCCTCGATCAACTCTCTGATCTGTTGTTTTCTTTATGATTATTATGAATTACACATTTATTAACAGCGAGCTGAGCTTTATTTTGTTGAATAATGTATATGGAAGTAAATGCACTGAAGGAAATAGCAGATCAACTGGGGAAGAAGGATTGGGATTTCAATGTAAATCCTTGTGAAAAGAAGTTTAACCAGATGAAACCAATAGGGAATGATATGCCAGAGTATGTGTACAATAATTCTCTCACTTGCAATTGTAGCTTCCCTGCTGGTATTTGCCATGTTGACGCCATGTAAGCTCTTCCTTCTCATCTATACTTCTACCCAGTTAACTCTCTCATTATATTGCTGCCTTTTCCAATTTTCCCATTTCTCCTATATGTTTTCGTTTTGGTTGCTGTTTAATGATTTGAATTCGTTTCTTGTTGTTTTTTGTCACACTTGTGTGAGACCGTCTAAAATAGTTCAGGTCAATATGAAAATGTAATATTTGTAAGTGTAATACTAATCAAAAGTATTATATTTCAGAAGTATTATACTTGAGCGTAACGGTTTTATTTTCCTATATATAAGTAATAAACAATTTATTCATAATTAGGATTAAATTTTTCAATATAAGTATTACATTTTCAAAATTGACTCAACCCATCTCACGGATAAGGACATATGAGACGGTTTCATACAAGTTTTTACCTTTTGCTTTATATTGAGGAGTTCAGGATTAAACCTAGAACATTTTACTAATGGTGTGTTTGGTTCAAACATTGGAATCAGAATGGTAATGAGAATCAAATACTTACTAATGTTATTGAGTTTAAGTAGAAGTAATCACTTTGTTTGGTAATAAATAGGAATTGGAATCTAAATAAATAAATAAATATATATATATATATATATATATATATATATATATATATATATATATATGTATATGTATATATATATATTAAAATTCTATATTTAATGCATGGATCGGACAATGACCTTTCTGTTTTTATTTTTTATTTTTTATTCTTCATTTTTTGCCTTTATTTTTAATTCCATTGTTCAAAAATAAATGATGGAGTAAAAGGGTAATGAGTTTTATAAATACTAAAGAATTTGAGTATAATAGTAGAATAACAAAATGTCAAAATTAGACAAACAAACATTGTAATAGATATCAAACCCATAGTAGGATGCAAAAGTCTACAACCAATTATACTATCTTTCTTGTATTTGGTAACAATTTTATTTATTTTTGCTTATTATTTGGTAACATTATATTTTTATTTGTTATTATTGTTGTTGTTGTTGTTGTTATTATTATTATTATTATTATTATTATTATTATTATTATTATTATTATTATTAAAGTGTTAAATAACTTACCAAATTTTCCTTGTTCATGACATAACAAAATAACATGTGTAATTAAAACATTCAAAGTTTCAAACACCCCCCCCCCCCCCCTCCCCCCCCAAATGTACTAATATTATTAATTTTATTGTCAGCTACCTCCTTTCCTACCTTAGTACATACCTTTCGAGATTCCCTCTTCACAAAAAATATATATATATAATTATTCAAACTTTTCAACATAAATACTTTAAACTCACAATATATTATTAAGCATTAAAAAATTTAAAAGACGTCCAATATGGAGACTCCAATTTTAACCATCTTTTTACTCTCATAAGTTGTTCACACTATCCCAGAACATTTGACAATAAAAAAAAGAGACGTCAAATATGAAGCAACCTACAATACTGTCTCTATTAAGAGTGGATTATTAAGAGTGGAATCCACAACCTTTTATATGAGAGAGTAACTTGATGCTATTAAAGCACAAGGTCCTTGGCCATATTTTTTCTCTCTAATAATTGTAATAAGTTGTTCACACTATCACATATCACTGTTAAATATAAAAATGTGTATATTATGCACAACGTTGAATAGTTGATACAAATTTTTTTTATCACTAAAAATTTTGTGTATTGTGCTTAATTTTTGTTTTATGTATTTATATCTTTTTATTTTACATTTTTTTCTTTATACCTAATGTATTGATTATTTCTATTTTTTCTCTTTATATATTGTTTTTTTTTTAATAATAGTTATAAAATTATATACCTTTGCATTTATTTTGATCATACCCCTTTTTTTTTTAAAAACACGTACTCATGATTCTTTATAAAATAGTATATGTTCCATCCATTTGAAATGGTAACATAGGTGTCAACATTAAATAGTAGTTGGCGATGATATCTTTATTCAAGAGCATTTTTATATCAAGTAGTATATGTGTTTGTGCCTAGTATTATACGTTATTAAATATACTAAGTCTACCCGGTAAAAGACAACTACCATTTAGTGCGATGACAATTTGGTTACCATTCTAAATAGGTGGTCATAGATTCAAACTCTGGTGATGGGGCTTAGATTTTTTAGGCTGAAAATGTTTGAGAAAGTATAGAACATATATTACGTACCTTTAAAAAAAAAGATATTACGTACCTTGTAAAAAATAAGAATCATGAGTATTTCCAAAAAAATAAAAAATCTGCCCTTTATTAATATATTTATCATGTGTATTTTTTTTCTTTTTTGAGAAAAAAAATACACATAATAAATATATTATGTGTATTGATAAGTTGAAAAACGTTTCAAAAATATAGATACATAATAATTTTTCATTCAAATTATATTTTTCTGTAATTTAATCAAAATTTATATTTATTGCATTTAAAATTTTAAAAGTGTTGCGAGTCTTGCGACAATATTGATAAATAAATTTTTTTAAAAAAAAAAACATAAAATCAAATAACCTGTAATTTTTTTTTTGTATACATGAATGTTGCATAGACTATTGTAAAGTTTTTAAAAATATTTTTATTTAAATAAAATTTTAAAAGATTACAAGTTTTGTTGACATGGCTTCCCATTGGATCCATGTATACAAGTAAAATTACGGCAAAAGAATGACTGAGTTGGTGGAGTACAATTAAAGTACTAAAAAGTAAAACGTCATAAATTTGATTCTTGTCAAATATTTCAATCGTTGAACTCATAACACAAGGTCTTGTAAAATACAAGATAAAAGATGATTGGGGCAACATTAACCAAGTTGGTTAGCTGTTGACTTGATAACCATATATAAGGTTAAATGTTTAAATTTCACTGAGAGTGACATTCTTGGTTTAAGTTAGCCAGCTATATATGGGCAACTTAGATTGTGATCATTTGTTTACTATGGTCACGAGGCGAGATTACTCAGTGTATACATTTAGATCACTATTGGAAATTATGAAATTTTCGATCACCTGAAAGTGATCTCAAATCAAGTCGAAAGCCTTGTTCCGATCACTTTTGGTATCCGGAAAAACCTTTGTTGCTATTTCCGACCACTTTTTGCTTTCGACTTGATTTAAGATCACTTTAAGGTAGTCGGAAATTTCATAATTTCCAGCAAGTGGATGGTGACTTCAATTTCCCTCATCACTCAAAAGCGAGAGTGTGTGTGTGTGTGTTTTTTTTTTTTAAGAACAAAATAAAGTGTTATATACATCACAAATGCTCTAATAGTCTCTACTATTGTGTAAGCAGAGTTTTGAAAGCACAGAGTCTGCAAGGTGTCCTTCCTCCTTCATTGGCGAAGTTACCCTTTATCAAGAAAATGTACCAATTCAAGACTTTCTACATTTATGCAATAATCTCTGATCTTCTACTTATTGGTACTATCATTTTTTGCAGTGATTTAACTCGCAACTACTTAAGTGGTACAATTCCCCCTGAATGGGCTTCTACCAAATTGGAATATCTGTAAGTTGTGTTGTGTATCATAACCTAAGCTATGATATATGAGGGTGTAAGCCTTCATCTTGTCCATGATGATAAAGAAGTGAGACATTTGTAGGGATGTTCTTGTGAATCGATTGTCTGGACCAATTCCAAAATACTTGGGAAATATAACAACTCTTCAACACTTGTATGTTCCCTTTCCCCTCTCACAAGTTTTAACTCTTTTTGAGGAACTTAATGTTTGGGTTTTGTTCTAACAACAAATTAAATTGGGTTTCCAGAGGCTTGGAGAACAACATGTTCAATGGAACTGTCCCACCTGAGCTTGGGAAACTTGTCAAATTAAAAAAACTGTAATTACCCATTGTTAATCCAAGATGTGAATTTCAATTTTTTGTTCTCAGATCACTTGTTTAATTTGATGCTTTCTTGGTTTTTTCCTTTCTGTAGCTTTCTTGGTGCTAATTATCTCACAGGTGAATGGCCAAAAGAACTTAATTCTCTTACAAAATTGAAGGAGTTGTAAGTGCATTATCATATCATGCATATATATTCCTAATTTATGAACATCGATCTTTTGTTGTTTCTTCAATACTTTTATGCTCACCTGTCATGTGTTCATCATTGCAGTAGGCTCAGCAGTAATAACTTCACTGGGAAACTGCCTAGCTTTCAAGGTTTGAAAAACATCGAAGAACTGTAAGCATTCAAATCTATCACTTTAGGATTGAAATTTCGGGATGAAATCGGTTTTTAATTTATTGAGAAGCATATATGATTGGCAGAGAGGTTCAAGCAAGTGGCTTTGAAGGACCCATACCTGAAAATATTTCTCTTTTGACAAGCTTGACAGAACTGTGAGTTAAGATTTCCTTTGACGATTTAATTAGTACTCAGTTCGCGTTTTGATTATATATAACAGAATTTTATATGGTTAAGATCAAGGAACTAAAATAATGTAACTGTGAACAACATGAATCTGCAGTAGAATCAGTGACCTAAATGGAGGTGGTGTCTCCAAGTTTCCTATATTAAACAGCATGACAGGACTGAGAAAGTTGTGAGTAATGCATTTTCTTCCCAAAAGTATGAACTTAAGTTTCATGATTCCACTATGAATTTATTCAAAAAAATAATTTTGGGTGCAGGATATTGAGGAGGTGTAATATTTCTGGGAGGATACCTGAATATATATCTAATATGACAAGCTTGCGACAACTGTAATTTCTACAACTCGAGCTTTTTTTTATCCTTCGTGGGGAAATTATGGTCGATTATAGGCTGACAATATACTAACAATTAAGCTGATATCCTTGTCTTTGTTATGATATTGAATTTGCAGAGATTTGAGTTTTAATAATCTGGAAGGAGGGATTGATGGTCTTCAAATTGATAATGCACACTACATGTGAGTAACAAATCAAATTTTGATGTTATGCATAAGAAACTTCCTTTCTTTTTAGTTGAATTTGGTGTTACTTGTTCTTAGATATCTAACAAGCAACTCGCTTAGTGGGCGAATTCCTCAATGGTTTCTAAACCGAGATCCCAGATAGTAAGTTCAGTTTAATATATTAGATGTTTGATTTTTTACGAGTTTTATCATAGATTTGGTGTATTTTATATGAGTTCTTTTCAACTAAAAGAAATAAAATGATGGTGTGTAGTTACGTTGATCTTTCATACAACAAGTTTGACGATAGCTCTGTGCCACTAAATTGTCGGGAAAATGTGTAAGAGTCTAATCTATCCCTTATATACATGTACTCTTTCAAGTATTCCTTCAAACATGGATCATTTTAACTTTCTCGTTTTCCTATCAGAAACTTGTTCAAAAGCCATAATGAAGGAGAAAATTCGTAAGTTCTAACATCCTCAATAGTGTCACTCTTAATGGAGTTTAGTCTCCAAAGATTTCTGACTTGATCCCCTTTTTGGCTTTGTATAGACTAATTGGAAAGTGTCTAAAGCAATGCTCGAAAGGTAAGAACATCATATCACTATACATTAATGCATTTATGCATAAATTTTGCCGATAAAGCAATGACAACCAATGGCCTTTATTTCTGCAGATTGGTATTCATTTCACATCAATTGTGGTGGGGGAAATGTTTCGATTGGTGACACTACATACGATGCAGATGACGATTCTAGCGGCCTTGCAAAATTTGTTTCCAAAAGAGAGAACTGGGTAACCAGTAATACGGGATTTTTTTGGGATAAAAATAAAACGCTAACTGACTATACAGCAACAAATATATCTGTTATCAAGGGAAAAGACTCTGAAATCTACAAGACAGCTCGCTTGTCTCCTTTATCTCTAGTATATTACGGACGCTGTTTAGCAAACGGGAACTACACTGTGAAGCTTCATTTTGCAGAGATAGTTTTGAGAGATAACAGTTCTTTTCTAAGTCTTGGAAGGCGCATATTTGATGTTTATATACAGGTCAATTGCGAATTTTATGGTTTAAACCGAGGACTCCAATGGGTGAGATCGACATGCACTTGACAATAGTTGTTTTATTGGCTATAGGGCGAGAGGAAATTAAAGGATTTTGATATTAAAGCCGAAGCACATGGAGCTGATAAAGCGTTGGTTAAACAATTTCAAGCAGTTGTCAGAGATAAAACTCTCGAGGTGCGCCTTGAGTATGCTGAAAAAGGAACAACCGCGGTCCCGATTAGAGGAAATTATGGCTCTTTAATATCTGCCATTTCTGTGGAATCTGGTAATATTAGTTATCTCCAGTATATTACCAATGGGGAGATTACACTCTAATGCCTTTTCTACAAATATGCAGATTTCAAGCCTCCCAAAAATAGAAAGACTGTAATCATAGTTGTTGCAGTAGTTTCTTCATTGTTTCTTGTTTTCGCAATTCTCTGTTTTGCTGGATGGATGATCTACACTAGAAACAAGACCTCACGGGAAAAGGGTAATAATTGCATTTACTTTCTCTTACTTTCCAAAATATTTTGTTTTCATGCACTAGCAATTTTTTAAAAGTAATTGTCTTGGTGCAGAACTACAAGGTCTTGATCTACGAACGGGTCGATTTACCTTTAAACAAATTAAAGCCGCTACAAACAACTTTGGTTCTGCAAATAAGATTGGAGAAGGTGGTTTTGGGCCTGTGTACAAGGTATAGAAAAATGTGAATATTCGTAATATGTGAATATTTACATTTATACCTTGACTCTTTTGTTTTTGAACTTACTATAGATGCTTATGTTGATGATCTTGGATTTTCTCTTGTGTATAAACCCAGGGTACATTATTGGATGGTACAGTTATTGCTGTGAAACAACTCTCATCCAAATCAAAACAAGGAAACCGTGAATTTTTGAATGAAATAAGCATGATTTCTTGTTTGCAGCACCCAAATCTTGTGAAACTTCATGGGTGTTGTGTTGAGGGAAAGCAATTGTTGTTGGTGTATGAGTACTTGGAAAACAATAGCCTTGCCCATGCTCTTTTTGGTAAATTTGAAATTTTCATTATTTCAGCTGCTAGTCATAATTTTTTTTTTAAAAAAAAAAAAACATAAAATTAGAAACATGAGGATTTAGTTTTTTTTTTTTTTAATATAAATATAAATATTCTGAGTTAACAATTAATTACAGGTCCAGAAGATTGTCAGCTGAAAATAGACTGGGCTACGAGACAAAGAATATGTGTTGGTATTGCAAAAGGTTTAGCTTTCTTGCATGAAGAATCAGAAATAAAAATTGTTCATAGAGACATTAAAGCCAGTAATGTACTTCTAGACAAAGAACTCAATCCAAAAATTTCTGACTTCGGTCTAGCTAAACTTGATGATGAAGAGAAGACACACCTCAGCACAAAAGTTGCTGGGACACTGTAAGATGTTATACCAATTTCTCTTCTATTTTGTATTTCCCTAACAAGAAAAATAACCATTATTCTTCTTCCTCTTCTTCTTTTTTCTCTCTATAGAGGATATATGGCTCCAGAATATGCAATGTGGGGCTACTTAACATACAAAGCTGATGTCTATAGTTTCGGGGTGGTGGCACTAGAAATTGTTGCTGGGAAGAACAACATGAAGTATCAACCTGATGAGGACTATGTTTGCCTCCTTGATTGGGTGAGATATCAATTCTACCAAACTCATAATTCATAGATTGTAGACATGTATGTCAAACTAATTGATTACCCAATTCTTTGTATTTAATGCACAATTTCCAGGCACTAGTTCTTCAAGAAAACGAAAACCTAATGGAGCTAATTGATCCAAGACTGGATTCTGATTTTGACAAAGAACAAGCTCTCAGAATGGCTAAACTGGCTTTGCTTTGTACTAATCCTTCCCCAGTCCTTAGGCCATCCATGTCTGCAGTTGTTAAAATGCTTGAAGGCCATGATGATGTTCTTGGATACAAATCCGATCAATACGAGTTCAATTCTCAAGCAATGACAGATCAATATGATGAAACCACAGTCGGCTCAAGTGATTCTCCCTACAAAGTAAATATTTCTTCAGATGCAAGTAAACTAACAGAGGACACTGGCACTCAACAACCAAGAGATGAAGTAGAGGCAGTATAAGGGCAATAGGGCAGTAGGGGCACTCATTTCTTGGTTGTTGAATGCCAGTGCCCTTTGTTATAAACAATGATGAAAAATTATATCTTTAATACATACAATAAATTATACTTGTAATATTAAATTTTTGTCCCGACAAAGTTAAGGACCTTTGGCATTAAGCAAATGCACATATTTTTGTCTTTATATTTTGTGGATATCCAACTTTATGGGTTATTAGTATTAATTATTAGAGTTTTGTCCAGAGGTTGTACTGTAGTTTTTTTAAAAGTTAATTACCGTTTTGGTGCATTGACTATGGTGAAAGTACCAAATTGGTTCTCGACTATTATTTTTGGTCAATTAAGTCCTCAAGTATTAATTTTGTGTCTGATTTGGTCCTCCGTCGTCAGTTTGGGTGTTAATTGGCTGTCTCTTTTAAGGACAAAATAGGACTTTCACTCTTTTCCCTCATTTTGAAGATCCACTCTCATCTCTCCGTAACCCAGGGAAGAGTTTACTTCAACTTCTCTCATCCAATCCTGCGGCGGCGGTCGGATTGTCCGCCCCATCGGCTGAAAAGACAGTCACAACAAGGTCTGCACCGCCAAGGGAACTTGGGACCGTCGTGTGCGGCTATCGCCGAACACCGCAATCCAGTTCTACGATGCCAAGGACATGCTTGGATACGACCGACCTAGTAAGGCCATTGATTGGTTGATGAAGGAGGTGAAGTTGAGATTGAAGCTCTCAACGTTGCAACTGCGATGAACCAGCAGCCAGGCCTGAAAGAAGAAGAAGAAGAAAGGATTCTTCTGTAACGATCGGCCAAAGTGAGGAGCCTGGAAATGAAGAAGAGAACTGAAGGGAAAGAAGTCGCAGGACTCATACGGCGTCGTGTTGGAAATAACGATTGATTGCCGGTTATGAAATAAAGAGTCCTACGACGTCGTTTGACGCGAAGGTTAGAAGCGGTTGAAGGCTCCATCCGACGGCGTTGTTTCAGTCCCTGGAGTTTGTTATCCAGCTGGCTTTTTGTTATGGAACCGGCTGAGTAGATGGAATAGTGGAGTATTTTATGCCTTAGATTGTAGTAGTTGGGATTTATGCAGAGAATACACTCAATTGATCTTCTTTCACTCAATTCTTCTCTCTTCCCCAACCCTAATTCTCTCTTGTTCCTCCCCTAAATTCTCTTTTGCTGTAAGGATCGTTTCAAGTGGTATCAGAGCCCACCATGGAAGGGCGAGTTCAGACTCTCGAGGCTACGGTCACAGAGATGAATGCACGCATCCAGACCACGCAGGACTCAGTCAATGACCTTAACACTGCCCTGAGAGAGGAGATTGTGCAGTTGTTCCAGCTCAACAGGCCAATGCCACCCATCTTTGGCAACTCTCCTGGGCAGTCCTCTGTCAATGCTCAGTTCCCAGGAGGCCCCAGCTCAGCTCCCGAGGGGAGGCCTGATAAGGCTCCGATGCAAGGGACAGAATCGGATGAGAATGAGCCAGAGGAGGCACCACAGCTGCGGAGGGGACTGCTTAACAGAAATCGCAGAGATGAGATCCCCAGAAGAAGGAATGAGGAGGGTCTCCGACAGCCAGCTACTGGTCAGCACTATGATTTCTTCACAAGGTACAAAAGCGAGTTCCCTACTTTTGATTATGCCAACCCTAGGCAGTGGATTGTAAGGTGTGAGAAGTTTTTTGTACTATCTCACGTTCCAAGACATGAGATCTTGAATTTGCTGTATGTACAATTGTCTGGGAAGGTAGGGGTTTGGTTTGAGAGTTTTGTGCATGGTCTAAGAGAAGAATTCCATTGGCCAACCTTTGCTGAGGCAGTATGCAAGAGATTTGGTGATAATGGAGTATCCTTGATGGAAGATTTCGCATCCTTTAAACAGATAGGCAGTGTAGATGACTTCACAGAAGGCTATGAAGTGTTGAAAAGCATGATGTTGCAGGCTCACCCTTACCTAACTGAGTATTACTTCATGGACAACTATGTTGCTCGATTGAAGCCAGCTTTGAGGTGCCATGTAAGGACCTCAAAACCAGAAACCTTGGAAGATGCTGTCTGGATTGCCAGGCAATATGAAAAAGGAATGAGGCCTAGTGAAGGGGCAAAATCTGTGTACTGGAATTCTAAAGCACCACAACCTTCCAAACCTTTTAGCTCCAGTTCAAATCAGCCAAATCCAACCACCTACAGCCCTAAACCAAACTCCAGTACCCAATCCACCACAGCCAAACCATAAGACCTTACCCACTTCAGAAACCAACTCAGAGAACATAAGAAGTGTTTTAAATGCTTTGAGGCCTGGCAACCTGGCCACAAATGCAGTGGGCCTACCTTCAACATCATAGAAGGCCTGGAAGATGAGGAATTGTCTGAGACACACAGCCAGGAAGAGGAGGAGGCTGCAGTTACCTTGTGTGCTGTCCTGGGAGGTGATGGAATGAACACTATTAAGTTGTTGGGAACTATCCAAAAACAACCAGTGGTGATCCTAGTAGATACTGGCAGCACACACAGCTTCATGGACCCCAAGCTGTTGTCTCAACTAAGGAAGGAAGCTGAGAAGGTTAAACCCTTGGTGGTAACAGTGGCTAATGGGGAAAAAATAGTTTGTGAATACACCTGCCAAGACCTCCAATGGCAGATACAGCAGGAAGTCTTTGTGAAGGATTTTAGGATCTTGAAGCTGGGGGGGTGTGACATAGTATTGGGAATGGATTGGATAGATGAATATGCCCCAATTCAACAACACACTAGACCTCCAGGGATTTCTTTTTACAAGGAGGGAAGGAAGGTGCTCCTTAAAGGATTGACCAGGAAGGTGCTTCTGAGGGCTACTAGTGTAAAACAGATCAAAAGATGGCACAAGGATGGGGTGAATGGATTTTTGGTCCAGTGTAAGTCCCTACAGGCTGAGGAGGTTGTCCCTGAGACCCTTCTGAACCTTAAACCCTTCAAAAAATCCCTAGCCACTCTAAACATTCCACCTGAACTGTCCTCACTATTACTGGAATTCCAGGACTTATTTCAGGAACCCACTACCCTACCACCTAAAAGGAACCTAGACCACACTATACCCTTAATCCCTGGTGCTAAACCTGTAAACAGTGGACCTTACAGGTACTCATTTGACCAGAAAAACACCATTGAAAAGATGGTGGATGAAATGTTGGAAGCTGGTATCATCACCCCCAGTGCCTCTTGGAGTTAATTCCATTTTTGGTCCTAGACTTATTAGGGGTTAGACAATTTTCATCCTCCATAATAAAATTTTCCATTTAGTAGCCACTGTTATTGGTCGTTGGACACTTTTGGTCCTCCGTCGATTGAACCGTCTGTTGACTGTTAATTTGAAGGGCAAAACCGTCTTTTTATGTTGTGTTCTTCTAATCCTTATATTGTGGATGACTTGAAGCGAGAAGTGAAAGCTAAAGAAGCCATGATTCAAAACTTGAAGGAGAAGCTCCCATTATCAGGTTTGAAAATGAATTGAATCCCATGGATCTACTGGGTTTTTCGTGGGCATTTGTGAAGTAATCTGAGAAGGTGATAGTTGAGCACCACATCCGACTCTGCCCATGGTCTCAAACATGGAAATTGACAGTAATGGGAAGAAAATTTTGCTTTTTGACAGTAATGGAAAGGTCACCGGAGTGGAGTGTCGCTACTGCTGGTTGTTGCCGTCGTCGTCTGCTGCAGTGGCAACAAAGGGGTTCAAGTCATGGCCAAGCTTATAAATACACGCATGGATGCCCCATCCCATCTCTGCCCACTCCATATTCACCAGCACCTTCAAAATTGTTGTGAAGATGAAGGGGTTGAGCTCGTGGCCTTCTCTGTGCAATCTAACAAACAACTCAACAACCTCAACGTAATGCTCCAACCGCATATAACCCTGAATCAAAGTAACAAACGAAACCATGTTTCTGTCCACCATTTCGTCGAACAACTGGTGGGCACAAGACAACAACTCAAACTTCACATAAAAATTCAACAAAATGTTCCGCCCGTACAGACCCAAACTCCCACCTCTCTTCAGAATATCACAATGCAGAGATTTTCCCAACGCGAACTGAGAGTTCTTGACGCAATCTTGAAGCATAAAGGATTAGAAGATGAAGAACCTGAGGACGACGATTCATGCGGCAATTTTGTGCCTGTGCAGCCTCCGATGAACTCCTCTGTTTCCATAGCGAATCAGATGGCTTCCTGGGTTTTGAATCCGGTCACCGGATTTTACCGCAGGGTGCCCTTTCGTTTTTCTGCCTTCTGCTCGCCGGATCTACCACCTTCGCCCAAGGAAAACGAGAGACGACGAGAGTGAGGAAAGGTCACCGGAGTGGAGCGTCGCTGCTGCTGGTTGTTGCCGTCGTCGCCTGCTGCAGTGGCAACAGGACTAAAGAAGCCGAGGACGAGATGGTGATGGTAGAGGTCCCGAAGTTGCTAGTCTGCTACCCCATTGGGTTCTTTGCTGGGTGGTCAAGAGAGAAGACAACATAAGACAACATAAAAAGACAACTTTGCCCCTCCATTAAACGGTCAAGAGACGAATTTTTAGACGGAGGACCAAAAGTGTCCAACGGCCAATAAGTGTGGCTATTCATTGACAATTTTAATTATGGAGGATGAAAATTGTCGACACCACTATAAGTCTAGGACCAAAAATGGAATTAACTCGTGCCTCTTGTTTTGCCTCTCCAGTTCTACTTGTGCATAAGAAAGATAACACATGGAGATTCTGCATAGACTACAGAGCTCTTAACAACATCACAGTCAAAAACAAGTTCCCTATACCCTTAGTGGAAGACTTGTTCTCAGAATTAGCAGGAGCAGTTTGTTTTACTAAGTTGGATCTCAGATCTGGATATCACCAAGTCAGAATGAGGGATGGAGAGGAGTTTAAAACTGCATTTAGGACACATCAGGGCCTATATGAGTTTAAAGTCATGCCATTTGGATTAACTAATGCCCCAGCCACTTTCCAAGCATTAATGAACCTAGTGTTCAAACCCTTCCTAAGGAAGACAGTGTTGGTCTTCTTTGATGATATCCTTATATATAGCCCAAGCAAGGAGATCCACTGCCAACACTTGCAAGAAGTACTGAGCACCATGAGGCAACATCAGCTGCTGGCTAAGTTGACAAAATGCTCATTTGCTCAGGATCAGGTAGAATACTTGGGCCACATTATCTCCAAACATGGGTTGCAA